CTTCGGAAGAGTGCCGAGAGAGATACGACACTCTCTGAACCGGTGGTACAGTATTTTATATTTATTTTGTCTCGTTCATCAATAAATCTACCACAATTTAATGAGTTTTAAGCTAGGGACATATACTATACCACCTAGCTGTCCACCATCCAATCAAACATATTCATTTTCACTCTCTTCATTACAAATTTATTTTGAGTACGTTGTAGTATAATAAACAAGCGCTAATGTAATTATGAAACTTGAGCAATGCCAACAATATTCTAATTAAGGCAATGACCGAGCAAATATCTACACAAACAAAAGAATAAACAAATTGAATCATAATGATGAATCAGTCATGATAAAAAAAAATTGTACAAATTTCGCAACATGTTACTAATTTTAAAAGAATGTGAATTAAATTATTAGCGTGGACATGAAAAACTCACAAACATTCAAATCAACTATACATAACCAACCATTAAAAACAATGTAGATTCCAAATATGAAATTATGAGTCTTATGACTTCTCATTAATGTAAATCATGCATGATTTTTCGTTTATTAATTGGTATGTGTTTGCTTCTAAAATGATAAACCTTAGAAAATTATGTTTTAGTTAGAGAAAATTTCGTTTGATTGAAAGCTGCTTTGACCGTCGTTACTGTGGAATGATTGAAAGGAATGATTGAAAGTTGTAACCTTTCATTTTTACTCGCTAAAGTTCTCTCCTTTATTCTTTTCAAGAAGAACACACAACGAAAGACAACAAAGTTTTAGTTTGGGACATGACGTTTCATATAAATGAATAAGTTGAATCTTCATGTATTTTGGGTAACCAAAATCCTAACTTGGTCGGCTTTGAGAAGCTATGAGTCCTCTGTTTTGACATTTGTGTCCAAAGATCAAGAAAGAATGTTCCTTTAAGATCCTCTTAAACGTTTCTATAAGATTGGTTTTGGTAGAGTCTTGGAAGAGACCAAATCATGAGACTATGAAAATGCACTTTGAATTTCTTGCTATGGTTGATGGAGAGAAAGTTTTCGTAATGCGGGTAGGAAAAAATGCCATGTCGATAATTCTCATCATCGAAACCCATAGATTAAGTACGTTTAAAAGGTCACAGAGTTACACAAACTGATGAGGAATTTACATAGTTGAAGAAGCAAGAAGGACACAAGCTTTCGAAACCACATGATCAAGTGATTCAGGAAGATATTTATTGTCTCTCTCTATTATTCTCAGTTTCATTTCTTGATAAAATCAACACCTTTCTGAATACTTCCTGCTAATTCTTCTTTTGCTTTCGCCAAACCAATCCTATATATTGTGAAATCATCAAAGATTAAATATCTCTCTTTTCTTTCTATCTGAGACAAAATAATGTGAAAGAGATGAGAGAATTGTTTCATACCTTTCGTATTCATTCAATGGTCCAAGTTGATACACTTCCTCTACTCCTGTACGGCCAAGACGCACTTTGGTTGCAAAGAAAGCTAACTCTGTAACCTGTAATGAATTGCCATTAAAAATCAAATGCATTAAAAGAATGAAAGAAAGAGAGTAGATATTTCTTTTGAGAAGCCTTTTCAAGATTCACCTGTGAAGCAACAAAAGAGCATTCCACGACATTCGCGTCACCTCTTAACCCGCGAAGGCAAGCATCTGCAAACTTGGCTGCAGCATATGCCTGTAGTACCACATTCCACATGAATTCAGGACACTATTCCAAACAAGTGTTATGATGATATCTTGAAGTGATTTGGTTTAGTTACCATTGAAAGTGTTGCAGATCCAGCTCCAGCTTTTGCTTCCACAACTTCAGTTCCACCATTTTGAATCCGGTTTGTGAGATACTCAATTTCTGAAGGTGTGAAGCTACTAGGTGGTTTAACCTGAGGAAACATCAATTATCAGAAAAGCTAATGTAATGGAAACAAACTTGGCTTTCCATTTATAATAAAACCTGTGACAATAGTGGCAAAATTGTGACTCCCGCGTGTCCACCAACGACTGGTACATCGACTTCTCTTGGATCAAGGCCAAGAACTTCTGCCACAAATGTGTTGGCACGAGCAACATCAAGTGTAGTAACTCCAAGGAGCTTCTTAGGATCATAAGTTCCCGCTTTCTTGAAAACCTCAGCAGCAATGGCGACAGTAGAGTTCACAGGATTACTAATCAAGTTAACAATAGCATTAGGACAACATTTCACTACGCCTTCACATAGTGTTTTAACAATCCCAGCATTGATTTTAAACAGATCATCCCTAGTCATCCCTGGTTTCCTCGGTACACCAGCGGGTATGATGACAAGATCCATACCCGTTAGGGCATCCTCAAGCTGCTTTGGTCCCAAGAATCCGCGAACCTAATAAATAATCTCATATCAATTAGAGTGGTCGTAACTTTATACTGATTCACCAACAAGAAGAAGTTTCAAAGTTCTTACAACAGCTCCAGTGTCCATATGGCTGACATCAGCTGTGACGCCAGGTGCATTGACAACATCGTAGAGATGAAGTAAAGAGACAAGAGGGTTCATCTTCATTAACAGTGATAGAGATTGTCCAATTCCACCTGCTGCTCCAAGAATTGCTACTTTGAATCCTGGATTCCCGCCTTTCGCTCTGCAATTTTCTCGTCCAATCATCGAGTTCTTCGCCTCCATCTAATGAATCATTCAATCACAAAGAAGAAGAAAAAACTTTCACTTTTAGTCCTCTAAGAACTTCAATGGAGGAGAACAGATTGGTCTCTCTAATAGAAACTAATATTAAGTTCGTGATTTGAGTCTTGTTGAAACCGAGACAACAGTTCTGTTTTGAGGATCAATACAACAAAACCATTGAAGAATCAAAGAAGATAACTTGACTTAGAAGCAAATTCAAAGAAAAAAACCTGAGGAGTGAAAGAAGGTTGAAGATGAGCTGATATCATAGCAATCCTCTGGTTAGCATCTCCACGAAACTCCATTCTTGTGTTCTTCTCTTTGTTTGCTCTCTCGTTAGAAACCTGTTAAAAAGGTTTTATAATTTGTATGTTTAAAGAAGAGAGATGACTTAGAATATGGGGACTAGATTTAAAGAATATGACATGCATATTTTGTCTTTTTTCGTAAAATTTTTGTATGATTTTAATGATAATAATTTTGTGTGGAAAGAAAATGTTGTTTCATCATTTCTTTGGAAGCCTTCCTTATCCCTTTATCTTCGTGTAGCTCTCGTCTATTGACCGTTGTGGCTATCAAAATTTCCTTTAAAAAATTAAAATTTTATTAAGTGGAATTGATAGTAAACCACAATTTATTTTATTAACCGGGATATGGTTTGATCACTTATCCAGCAAGAGCAATAGAACCAAACGAACCATGAATATACAAAGGATTCCTATAAACACATTTTACACACAGCTTTTTACATTACTGAGAAAGTGACATTACTCAAACCAAAAAACTATCAGATTCCATCAATGGAGTTTTGTTTCAGGCTACCACCAAGTAAAGACATTAGCGCTCCTCCATGAACTCTCTCCTCCGAAATCTTGAAGTTAAAGATGTTTGTTTCTCCTTCATGAGTAGATTTCATTGATGAAGGCACAAGAACCTGCATCGGCATCATCATCTTCTTCTGTCTTTTCTCAGACTGCATATAATCAACAGCATCAGTACGGCAATCAGAAACCGCGCTAACTCCAGACTGAGAATGATCAGAAGCAGAGACAACAACAAGGCCACTGAAGAGTCCTGGTCCAATCAAACCATTATTGCTTCCATCTTCTTGTGTCTCTCGTGACATTATACTGTTATGCTTAGCGCATAAACCGCTCTTTCCTCTAGCGAATTTCTCGCATTTCCCATCTCCCCAAGAACATCTTTTCCCACCACCGTGTGCTTTGCAGAAATCAGTACTACCTTGAGCACTCTTCTCACATCCAGTGATCTCACAACGTTTACCACCACCATGCTTAACACAACAGTCAGTGCGACCACGCGCACTCTTAGTACACCCTGCAACAACACATCTTTTCCCACCGCCATGTTTAACACAGAAGTTAGTCCCACCGTGTACGCTCTTAGAGCAAATTCCGCCTCCATCAGAGAGACAGCGTTTACCACCACCGTGTGCTTTACACAGAGGAGTACTACCTTCTGCTCCTTTGCTACATCCTGAAAATATACAGCGTTTTCCTCCTCCATGAGCTTTGCAGTAGTTAGTACTTCCTTGAGCTCCTTTATCACAACCTGAAGAAAACTGACAACGTTTTCCACCACCATGGGATATACAAAGACCAGCTTGTCCTTCAGCACTTCGTGTACAGCTTTCAATATTACATCTTTTGCCACCACCGTGTTTAATGCAGAGTCCCGATTTGCCACGGGCTGCTTTGTCGCATCCTTCAGGGAACTCACAACGTCTTCCACCACCGTGAGATATGCAGAAATCTGTTTTTCCTTCAGCGCTCTTCGTGCATCCCAAATGTTCACATCTCTTCCCTCCACCGTGTGTTTTGCAAAAAGTGGTTTTACTCTCTGCACCTCTGTTGCAGCCTGGTTTTTGGCATCTCTGTCCTCCTCCATGGCTGATGCAGAGCCCTGACGCTCCTCGAGCTCCCTTCACACATCCCATAAATTTGCACTTCTTCTGGTTGTAAGTCCTCTGCTGTACAGAGAAAGTTGTGCAAGGTGATGACACTAGGCTCACTTGTGAACGATCATAATGAACGCCGGTTCCAAAATGATAAGGTTCTTGCATCTTTGAAGGATTTCTGACATTTTCCGCCCGTGGATCTATCAGAAGTGATGGCATGTAACCACCTGATCTCTTTGCAGAAGTAGAACCCTCATCAACAACAGGAATCACATGTTGTCTGCTGTTATTGATCTCTGTACACGTCGAAAATGAACAATCAAGTCCGCTGAAACTGTCTATGCTTACAGCAGGAGGACCAAGTTGCAGAACCGAATTACCTCCTGATACGTTTTCTTGATCAGTGAATCCAGAACAAGAATCTTTGTTGCTAAAATAGTATGAAGCCGATGTTGGACCCAATCCAAGAACCAACCGGCAGCCATCATCAGTGCAATTAGAAACATCAGAACAAAATTGGTTCTGAGATCCCCTAATGCACTTCAGGCTAAGAGAGGTGTCACCCATTTTGTTGTGTGTTATTAAAGAGATGAACTACACCGTTGTTCAAATTCAAATGAAGATGAAAGAGAATTCCGAAAGAAAACTACCACTTAGCACAACACAGTTGTAGTAGCTATAAGCAACTTGAGAGATAATAAACTTCCCCCACTCACAAAACCGGATGTATCTGCCATATCCATCTTCAAGAATGGCGAAAGAATAACTATTCTGCTAGTGTGATACTATCAATAGAAAAATACCATTGGGTTTTTAAGGCAAAAGATGATCAGGTTCAGCTGGAAAAGCAATGATCTTTTGTTGTAGAACTTTCCTCAAGACCTGAAACCAAATCCAGAAAGCATTAAACTGTAGAGTTAACGAGATGCAATAACAGGTGAAAAATCCAAATGTGGCACAGAGGCTATGAGCCAGACAGTGAAACAATCAAGGGCATTTTAAGTTGAGAGTACAAGATTGAAAGATACATAAGACAGATACCAAGTACCAACCAAGTGACTTTTTGGTTACAAATTGCAGCCTCAACTAAGTATAGGTGAGATGAAACTTTGTACATCTTTAATCAAATACAGTTAACAAAAGAAGAGACTTTGACAATGGTATTTAATGATATCATGTCCTCTTTAATGTGGCCC